CTGGGATCATGACCTGAGCCGAAGGCAGCTGCTTAACCAACTGAGCCACCCAGGCGTCCCCAGAATCCAGGTTCTTGACTCACTCTCTGACCTGGGGTTTTTCAGCATGGGACCCATCACAGTTTACCTAACTGGAATCTCAAGGTGAGATCTGGCAGCCTGTCCCAGGTGATCCCTGGTACCTTAATGCTTGAGAAACGCTGTGCTGGTCTGAGGGAGAAAACCAAGGGCCCTTGATCAAAGGGCCAGTCTGGGCAGAGTTGGGATTTGACAGGGTCTCCAAACACCACCCTGAAGACCAGCATTGTCATTTTATCACTTTATGGAGTCAGAGGTAGCAACTTGGGCCAGATCTCTACCCAGCCCTTTCTCTCCAGCTCGACACAGCTTCTTGTGCACTTGGGGCTGTCTAGCTGCCAGGCCTTTGCTGTGTCGTGCTGCCGTCGGGACCCTCTTTCTCCAGGTCTTGGTCATCTGTCTTTGCCATCGCCTCTTTGGAGCCTTTCAGGGAAACCCCATTAGAAAGACAAGTCTTCCTCTTTCTCCTCCTGCCTGGTGTGCACTGGTGCTATGAACGTGTTGGGTCTTATCTCCAGTCCCATGATGCCTAGCACAGAGTCCGGACCAGAAATACTGTCCTTGGGGCCAGGTTCCCATCATGGTGCCTGTGTTTCCTGCTCTCTCCCTCTGCCATGCTCTCTTCAGACAACCATAGGTCACTAGGCCCTGGAAACAGCTGTGGGGGACATGAATTGAGTCATGGCTGATGAGGGTCTGGAGGCTTTGTAGCTAGATGGCTGTGGTCAGAGAACAGGAAACTGTAGACATTCTCACCCTGGTTGCATCAGGGCTGGGAGGGGTCTTCAAGAGCACAGTACGGTGGGTGAAGAGACTTACCCAAGGGCACTTGGGGAGTTACTGACCTGGCTAGGACCAGACCCATGTCCTAGGTCAGTGTTTACCCCTTTCTACCATGTTTCTTCTTTGTTTCTCTTCTGAGGTTTTATTTAAATTCAACTTAGTATAACATATAATATATAGTATAGTATTGGTTTCAGGAGTAGAATTTAGGGGTTCATTATTTACATATAACACTCAGTGTTCATTCCATCAAGTGCCCTCCTTAATGCCCATCACCCAAGTACCCCATCCCCCCACCTCCCCTCCAGTAACCCTCTGTTCTCTATGTTGCGTCTTCTATGATTTGCCTCCCCCTCTGTTTTTATCTTATTTTATTGTTCTTTCCCTTCCCCTATGTTCATCTGTTTTGTTTCTTAAATTCCACATATGAATGAAATCATCATAGACCATGTTTCTTCTTTAAGAAATACTTCTGTCTTGTAAGGTAAGGCAATAAGGATAGTTTAGTCATAGGAGAAGAGTTGTCTTGACATGTGTGAGGACACCTTGGGGAGAGGAAGGCAGCTCCCTGCCCACCCACCTGTCTGGAGACTGCCTGCTCCCTCAGCATGGGCTCTTAGGAGGTCACCACCATGTCTGTAAGTTGCAGACCAGAGCTCTGGTGAGCCGGCGTGGAAATTGTGCCCACATCCAGAGGTCTCTTCTAAGGCCCTTTTCAAGGGAAATTGAAATACCTTTTAGCTGAAATGCTTGCAGAAGGAGACCCCAGAACATTATTAGTGACCTCAGATTATATTTTGGTTAATTAAATATTAGCCAAGGAACCATTCACTTAACCAGAAAAATCTTGTGTCCATTATTATGGAAGATCTTTTGAAATCTAACTGGTTTGTCTCCTAACAGTGTGGAAGTCTATTATGTCTTCTCTTATTTAATAAGCATCCAAACCTGCTGTGTTCCAAGCACCAGGTTAGGAGCTACTAGGCCTGTATAAATAGGACTGACGGCATCAGAATCAGGGCATGGGGCACCTGGGTGGCTCAGTTGTTAAGTGTCTGCCTTTGGCTCAGGTCATGATCCCGGGGTCCTGGGATCCAGCCCCACATCAGACTCCCTGCTCCAGGGGAAGCCTGCTTCTTCTCCCTCTCCTACTCCCCCTGCTGGTGTTCCCTCTCTCGCTTTGTCTCTCTCTCTATCAAATAAATAAAGAAAATCTTAAAAAAAAAAAAAAAAAAGAATCACATGGACATGCTTATTAAAAATTCAGAATCCTGGGCTCTGCCCCAGCCTGTGGGTCAGAAGCTGCTGGGTGGGCTCTGAGAATCTGAATTTGGATGGAGCTGCAGAGGCTGGTGTGGGAGTTCACTGCCCTAAGGGGATACAGGAGCACCTGGGGCTCTCCTCCAGACCTTTAAGACCCAGTTCGACCCACTTCGGCCCTCCTCTCTGTGCAGCCTTCCCTGGGAGCACAGTGCCTGGTTCATGGTAGGCATTCAGGAAACATTTGGCTGGACTGCTCTCTGTCCTCCAGGTGCTCCTGGTTCTGCTGGCCTGGGCAAGGCTGCTGCATTCGTTAATCTTGCATAAATGCTGCTTTTATGATATGCCTTCCACTCAGAACCTCCTGACCCCTGGCTCACTTTCATCCCGGATTAGTCCTATGGTGTGTGGCTTCAGTTTCTTGGTCCCACCATTCCTCCCCAGGCTGTGGAAGAAGCTGTCCCTTCTCATGGGGTTTTGCTCACTCTGCTTCTGAGCCATCTGTTGCCTCATTCTGTTTGTCAAGAGGAACTCTACCCTTGTAACACTTATATCCAGACGTGTCTTTTTCATCAGCCTTCCTTGCTCTATCAGGTTTGATAGAATATGCCGTGGAAATCCCAAATTGTGGTGGTTTTATGCAAGATTGAGGTTTATTTCTCATGTAAGTGGAAGGTCAGAGGTGGGCATTCCTGGTGGTCCGGGGGCTTCCTGAAGTCGTGAGGGTCCTAGGCTCCTTGCAGCTGCCTGTGTTACTCTCCCTAAGGAGTGACTAACCCTTGTCCTCATGGGCCAGGCTGGCTGCTACAGCTTTAGCCATCACATCTGTGTTTTGGTGGCAGGATGGAGGAAGAAGCAAAAAAAGACTACTCCATTCAAAATAGGGGTTCAGTTAATCAGGAAGTGGAGGAGAGCAGGTTTGGGGTAGATGACCGGCCATCCCTGCCGCATCCCTGAAGAGCCCTCCGGGCCTGACCAAGCACCTGATGTATGTGGGACCCTGATTCGCAGCTATGGGGGACACTGACGTGGGTCAGGCACAGCCATCCAGGAACCCACACTGCTGAGTGTCACGGACCCGTTCATCCTGTCTTGCTGCAAAATGCAGTGGGTTGGGCATGAGAAGGCCCTGAGGGGGTGAGACAGCTCTGAATTGCAACCCCAGTTGGCCGGTTACCATGGGTCAGCCACCTCGCCGCTCTGGGCCTCCGAGGCCTTGTCTGTAAACGAGGGTCAAACCCCTCCCCCTACCGCCTCCTGCATAGCAGCGAAGATTTGATGCAGCCCTTCTGCAGTGT